ATCGTTCTTCTATCCTGTCTCGTGGCAACGGAACGGAAGTTTTGATCGACCATATCGTATCCGCGAACGATCCCCAAGAGACGGGTTCGGACGAAGACGTTGTGCAGGAGTGGCGTGAAAATTGATGGGAGACGTTTCGCATTTTTACGAGCATTACGAGAGATAATGCCATCACTTGTCGAGTCGCGATAGAGTATTACGTTCGCGTCGATTAAAAAATTCACGAGTCAACGGTATTATTATCGGCCCCGAGAGACGCATATGAATCCCGTTTCGAAGATGCAATCTCCCGATCGAAAGATCTCTCGCTGCGCGAAAATCTTAATCTCGTCATTTTAACACAGCCGGTTTATACATCAAGCAACGAGAGTCACATATGATGGTCGTAATATTTTATTGCATCGCTCTATAATGGATGGCTTTATGAATATACTTTTCAGCGAAAAGTGCGAGATAGTAATTAAATAAATTATAAGATAATGCACAATGTGTGTAGTGAAACGTCAGCGGTGTTAATTTATTTTATCAGCTGAATTTTTCTTTCTTTTTTTTTTAGTCAATATAAAAGAACGAATAATCACATACCTTTTCAGGGAAAAGCGAAATATTAGATACTATAGCTACAGTTTTAGATATCTTTATATATTATATCTGAAATTTAATTGTCCTAAATAGTTTAAATTTTAGCTGTGTCATTAATATTTTTAAGCTATAATTTAATAGGAAATTTCCCCATTAAAATTATAAAATATTAATTATCACAGCTAAAATTTCAGTTGTAACATAAGGATACCTACAATTCAGTTACGGTAGCTGTTATTTTTGCCGTAAATTATTGATCATAAACATGAAAACTGAGTAATGAAAAATATCTTGATATGCAGATACATCGAATAGGCAGATGCATAGTTATCGGCTTTTATCACAGTCTGTTAATACACGCACGCACACGCGTGTATATACTACTTGTCCAATCTATCACATAACTCGGGGTGGCTTTACGACGTTTTACAGCGTCCTGTAGTTTGCTGTAAAACCGCGAACCCTCGTAAAAGACCGACGCGCATCTCTCCCTCATCACGAATTAGATTCGCGCGATTTTATTCGACGAACATCTTTCTCTCGCGGTGTCTTTTCTTCGCTTTTTAGATTTTCACCCTCTGCTCTCTGCCGGCTCCATTCACGCCGACGTCGCCATTCGTTTAGTTGGCGAACACGCGCGTACACGCTCGCAGCGACCGCGACGAAGCCGACGCGATTCGCTTCTCGGCCTCCTACTGCGAGCCCGAAGATCGTGGAATGAATAAAGAAAGCGGATGAACACACAAAGGCCGAGGCGAGAGAGACTCGATAATCGCCCGTTCGCGAAGAACCGCGAAATTGCCATCGAATTAAGTTCCCTTTTGTTCTACATTTTTAGAGCGCGTTTAAAACTTAACTTATTGGTACACCCCTAGCTTCACGGAAACAAAATTAGTTACCATATAGGCTAAATTTTAGCTGTCCATATATTACACATGAAATTTTGTTATCGTGCCTAAATTTTAGCTATGACAGCTAATATTTTTTAGCTATAACATTCTCCGCGTTAAACTATGACTAAAAATATTAGTTACCGTAGCTAAAATTTAGGCATGTAACTAAATTAAAAAATAATTAAATTAAAAAATATAAATTTCAGGTTGTAATATATATGGACAGCTAAAACTTAGATATGGTAGCAAATTCTTTTTTTCCGTGTTCGAGCGAACAAATAACGTACGGATCTTTAAAAGATGTGTCGAATGGTATTTAAAAATCCTCTAGAAGATTGTGACATATTCTTCTCTCTTTTTCTCTCTTCTTTTTTAAGTTTTTCGAATATCTTGAAGATATTTTATATACGACATGATAATCGTAATTATATAATCAAACGGATATTTGTCTATTTGCTGTCATGCAATTTGCATAATAAATATCGCAATACGAATCTACGCTTGTTCTCTCATGTGCTTTATTGACACATGGTGAAAATTTCTCTTAGAATTTACCGTAAAAATCATCGTGAGGCAATATGGTATCGGTCGAATTTTATAAGAGCTTCTCTGATTAATATTTACCCCGATATAAATATTAATATCTATCACAACAAGATATAAAATATGTTTGATTAATTTTACTATATGTATATATTAATTAACTTATAAGATTCTTTCAATATCATATTGTCCCACGATTGATTTTCAGGGTAAATTCTAAGAGAAAATTCTCTCTATGGACAAGCAGATTTCGGCAATTCTTATTGTATCCCGCATTCTGGGAATATTCGCTGATACTTGTATAATTATTCTCATAATTACGCGAATCGATATTCTACGCGCGATCGCGCAATTTCGCGTTCCTCATCCCCATCCCTGATCAAATTGTCGAGCGACGAGGATTTATTATGCCGGTCGGCGCGCCCTATCCTTTTCCCCCTTCCATTACCGATACGATATTGCGGATGATCGAGAGGGTGGCAACTGTTGCAATTAAATGCTTAATTGGACCGACATACTGATTGCCGTTCCGGAACACCTGCTACGATTGCTGGCTGATTTAATGTCGTATGAAAGAATCGGCGCCGTGAATTTTACAACACATTTAATGCACTTCGTCTCTCTCTCTCTCTCTCTCTCTGATTAAAATATTCGTGTCGTCCGAGATGATCGAGATTAAACGAGCGACTTTTTGCATAATTGTGCATTATTAATTGACCAGCGACTCAGCGGTTTGTGTGACGGAAATTTTAATAACAGCGGTTTTGTATCATCAGAACGCGTCCGACGTTATAAACTCATGTACTGAAATATTGTTGTATTTTTAACAAATACGCGTCACGCAATTTTGTAACTCGCACGTACGCGTACGTTATATCTCAGCAAACACAAATATATCGCTGCCACATAACACGTAACTAACATGCATGTTACATGTAATTTCCCACTCATAGATGCAACATTTGTAATGTAACATGTATGTATGTTACATTGCAGTTCTATTGTAATTATATCCTAGATAACACAATAACTCATCGATATTGTAAGATGCCGAAGATAATCAAATTTTCTCAGCATTCTCTAATATTGATAAGTCATTGTGCTGTCTGGAATATAATCACAATATAATACATGTTATAATTACAAATGTTGCATTTAGGACTACAAATGTTACACCTATGAGTGGGAAAAGCGTATTGCATACGTTACATGTAATATGCATGTTAATTACGTGTTATATTGCAGTTATATATATTTACGTTTGCTGGGGTATTCTCAAGCAAGTTTCAGTTACCTTCAGTGTGTATAGTCCCTTATCGAGAATAATAGAGCCGGGGCTCTATTATCCTTTCGACGAGGTACCGCAATTCCACGGTGGAAATGAAGCGCTGAAAGGATGGAAACCGCGGCTTTGTTCGCGCCGCGTCGAAGCGTCTAATTATTGCATCGTTCCGTTTCCACGTCCGAAAGAGCGAGAGAGAAGCTATAGCCTTTCGCTCGAGGAGGTAATCTCGTTGCGTGCAATCGCGTGTCTCGTGTTCGCGGAACGTGAAAACACGCGAGGAGGCTTTAATTAACTCGATTAAGACGTTATTCCGTCCGGGGTAACGCGATTCTTCTTTCGCTCCTTTCGTTCGATCCGACTCATCCGAAGCATGCCGATCGGCGCCGATTCTCCCGTCGCGAAGCTTCTTGTTAACACTTCTCGCTCGCAGCAACGCGATGTAGGTATTACTTGCAATCGGCGACTAACGCGGATCGCCGCATATGCAAATACGATTCAAATAATCGATCTTTCGTTGCACGTTACGCAAAAATATCACGGAGTGGATTATCGGTGCACGTGCAAATTATAGACAAGCACGCGTGAATTAATGTCTTTTCGCTTGCGTGGAAATTTATATCGAGACTTTACATCGTTCGAGAATAGAGTAATTATTAACGCGGTTCGATCGAAATCTTTCTGCGAAGCAATGTTACGGACTATCTCACACGAAGGGATATAATAATGCACAATATAAACGTAAACTTCTAATTCTAATCGATCGCGGTGTGCTTCGACTTGAAAACTTGTATGGCTATATATCAACCATGATATCTTGATCTACATCTAATTGTAACTATTTTACTTAAATATATAGGTAGGGGAAATTATAATCACGAAGGGAACTCCGAGGTAACATTTATGAGCAATTCCGATAACGATATGCAAAAAAAAATATATGTACAGACCAATTTCATTTTAATGAAGTTATTAAAAATTTATTATAACATTTAATATAACGAGCTGGATTAAAAATCTAGAGATTCTTCTCCAGAATATTTCTGTCAAGTTGGCTTGTCTCCAGATTATTAAAACTCTCTAATAAAATTTTCGAATTTTCAATTTTTCCATTTTTTTAAATTCGTATTTGATAGAGAAGCGTATTGACATTTGCATATGACAAAAAAATATATATGTACAAGTCTATTTCACTATAATAAACTTGCTAAATTGAAATAGTGTTACAACAATTAATACAATAGGTTAAAATAAAAATCTACAAGTTCTTCCCTGGAATATCTAACTGTCAAGTTTGCTTGTCTCTAGATTATTAAAATTCTCTAATAAAATTTTCGAATTTTCAATTTTTCCATTTTTTCAATTCGCGTTTGATAGAGGAACATATTGACATTTGCATATGAAAAAAATATATATGTACGAGTCGATTTCAGTATAATAAACTTGCTAAATTAAAATATTGTTACAACAATTAATACAACCGGCTGAAATAAAAATCTACAAGTTCTTCCCTATGGAATATCTATCTGTCAAGTTTGCTTGACAGATTATTAAAATTAATAAAATTCCTAATAAAATTGTATAGAATTTTCAATAAAATTTTTTGACATTTTCTTTTTTTTCGAACTTGCGAACTTGATAGTGAAGCATATTCACATTTGTTTATGAATCGGTGGAAGTAAATGAAGATGAAAACTTACGGGTGAGGTGGCGGTGCATGGAAAGCAAAGGCGGCCGCCGCCGCATGATGCTCCCAGGAAGTGACCGGATGCGGCGGCGCGTGATGCGGATGAAACGGTGGCGGAGGCGCCGAATGAGGGTGCGAATATAAGGTCGCGTGGAAGGCCGAATGCGAATGATGCGGCGGTGGCGGTGGCGGCAGCAACGAGAATGCCTCCTGATAAGCGACCTCCTTTTCCGGCATCTTGCTGGCGGCTGCTGCTGCTGCTGCTGTTGCCGCTGTCAGGGCCAGCTGTCGCGTCAGGAAGTTGTCTTCCAGGATCAAGGCAGATCGGTTCGTCTGACACCCTGCTTGCGGTACCGCTGGTACGGACGATAACGGGCGATAACGGCGGACATAGTCCGTTTTCGAGGGAACCAACCACTCGTCCTTGAAGGGAGATTGCGATTAACGCGTTATTGCAACAATTATCCGTTGTTTGTCCTTGTAACGATCGTAGGTAGATCGACGTCTCTACCTGGTGCCTTCTGCGGCGCAATTTTCAAACTGTCAGAATTTTTTCGTGACTATGGATCGAAAACGAACGTATCTTTTTGCGTCGACAGACCCGTCGGTACCCGAAAGGGTCGAATCCTGCTGAGTTTTCAATGGCGTACAGGATGTTTCTAATGGAAACGTCGTGTTCCTAATTTTTCTAACGTTTTCATCAAGATTTTCGTCTGGAAAGGTCGTGATTTCACTTTGCCTTTTAACAAAATCGATCGACAATTCCGGCGTTGCTCGCCGACGGATCCAAATTATATCCAACAACAACTCCAACACTGGTCCGCGAGAGACTTTCCTTTCACTGGTCGTCGAATACGGTGACTCACACTGTTCGTTAGTTAATCCATGCGGGCCAAACTAGATTGGCGCTCACTGATAATCCCCGGGTATGCGTATATCGCGAAGTCACGTATTATCGTCACTCGAGCGACCTCGAACCGACAGATCTACCGGATAAGGCGGCGTCAATCGATCACCATCGTCGCGATTAATGCGCGACGACGCCCACCGTTCGCGCGAATCGAGAGCACGTTCACCGCAATCAGATTGCTTCCGGCGACGAGTCAAACGTCCTCGCGGGCGCATTCCTGATCACCACCCTCGACGAGCGATCGCATTCGGGGCGATCGCTGCCTGCCGATGACACGCGCGACACTTGACAATTTGATCCCGGAATCGAGACACTTGGATCTTAAACATTAGATTTTGGGGTGAATTGTGTGCGGGTCTCTCTTGGTCCCTTTGGCTCGCCGTCTTCTCCGGAACGTGTACGAACCCTATCCTTGTGCTTTGGCGGGTATGGCGGTACTGAGAGCCTACCACCACCCTACTATCGCTACCACCACCATCACTACCATCGCTACCACTACCACCTCTACCATAACCATCGGAAGAGAGCATGGTATGGTTGAGGAGGAGAGAAGTCGGGCGTGTGGCGGTGGATATGCGGTTGTGTGTTGTCGGGTAGGCGTGCGACAGAGAGGCCGTGAAGAAACGCAGAGAGGAAAATTCGACGTGAGAACGAGGAGGATAAACGGATGCTTCTGGCGTATGTCGCGGAGGAGGGAGATGAGAGCGAGAGAGGAAACGAAAAAGCTACGGGGAAATCGTTCGAGAGATGATGCTGGAGAGAGAAAGAGAGGCGGATCTCGAGCAGGAATAGTGGGAAGGATATAGAGGATAGAGAGAGGGAGCGTGTATATATATGTATATATATGTGTTGAAGAGAGACGATCGGTACGACGATGGTGAAACGAGGAGAGAGAACGCGTGTCAGCTCGACAACTCAACTAGCACCAGCCGTCCCTGACTCCCACCTTCGGTCCTTTCATCTTTCGTCTCGTTCCCGCGAAGGAAAGCGCGTGGGTGTATCGGAAAAAGATGAATCTTTCTCGAATGCCCTTTTATAAACGAGTATCGAAAAAAAAAAAATTATCGCGTGGAAATGATAGTTGATGAAATTAAGCTTATCTTTGATTTCGAGGTTATTCGCGATGTTAAATCGTGTTATATGAATTATTAATTTTAATATGCGTTTATTCAAAGTTAATCGAATTGCAACGAATTAATAATTTCATTCTCTTATTGTTCTAATTTATTAATAATATACTTGATTTGAACAATTGATTGTGTCTTCTTTCACATTTATATTTTTATGTCATTAATCTTGTATTTTTTATAAAGACACAATTCTATTGAAAAATTAGTTTCTTCGACAAAAATTATTATACAATAGATTTTTTATTTATATTGTTCTTTACCATATCACTTATATTTTAAAATTTGATTTTCCATACAAAATTCGCTTACTGAGGAAAAATCTATCAGTGAACACACGTGTTTGTCGCTACTTTTTAGAATGTTTAGCTTCCGGTAGCTCCGTATGAATTTTCACCATATGCCTGGTATCGAATGTTTCCTTTTTCTCTTAGCGAGCGTTTCTTAATAACGGTCGCAGATTTTTCAAAGCCTAACCAGAGAAAAATCTGGCCACCCAATGACCAGAAATTTCATGGCTTTTATCCGCCTACTGTCAGCATATCATGGCTTTCTTTACGTTTTCGGTCCTCTGGTTTCATGTTCTCGCGCAGCACATGTGAGACAACTGAAGATCTTATGCGCCTCGCATCTCATCAGTTCTTTTAACAACTTATTTTGTCCGAGATTAATGAACTTATATTTCAATACAAATATTCTCTCTCCCTCTCATTCTCTCTCTACTTTTATTACGATATTCTAATTTTTTTTAAGCAATAGCAGCATGAATTAACGACATCCAATGCTCGACATGATGTATCAAATATATTATAAACATAGTTTTTAAAACTATTACTTGTTTATTGTTTTATATAAAAGACAAAATAATCAGCACATTGTGGTGAGGAATAATTACGTGATATTTGCGAATTTGAAAACAATATCGTCGTAACGCTAGATATATATCGACCTTGAGGATGACATAACGCGCGCCCCGATAATCACCGTTGAGAAAGGAATGAAGTGCATAGAGAGTCATTAACTAGCCGTCGACTCGTTGTGGTTGTTCTCCAACCTGCTAGCCGTTTGTTCCCCCAACATACGTCCATGTAATTCTCCACCGAGGACCCTCCTCATCAGCCGCGTACCGCGTTACGTTCGCGTTTGCCGACAAACACCCGTGACTACTCATTATTTTGTTGATTTTGCTGGTCGCTTCCTCGGCAGCGTCGAGGAGGCGAGATTACGTTCCGCGGGACCTAATTATCGTCAAACGACCGGCCAATCTACGGCAGGCTTTTAGGTATCGGCTCGAGCTTGCTTGTTCTTATGCGAATCAGCGCCGCCCTAATCATCCTGCTCCCGGCGACCAATATCGATGCTTCGTTATAATCGTTTATAAGCGTTGATGTATATGCATTATTAATCGCGTTTTTTTATCAGCATTTTTTTGGCTTCGTAAATTATTAGTATGATGTATCATTCAAGCTAATAGAGTTCTAAACAATTTTTTTTTACAAAAATTTCGACTTGCGAAAGCAGATGAATATCTTTGTCACATCAGGATACCTAGCGGTCAGGGAAATCTGGCAAATCGGGCATTATCAGGAAATTTTACTATTTATCTGAATTTTTTCACATTATTCTACATTTGTCTCAATAATTTGAAATTTTTTATTAAATTAATATAAACTTTTCTCTTTGACTTCCAGCACGCTAATTTTCTGTGTTGTTAAAAATAGATTCATCTACAGCGTGTTTGTTAATTTATATTTTCATCATCGTGTTATTTTATTTCAATATGTTTGATAAAGACAAAACTAAAAAATTTGATATAAATAAAAAAGGTGATTATTTAAATAATTTATAGTGATATGTTTGTTTCGTACACAATGCAGATTGTATATAATTGATTTAAATTTTTGTTTTTTAACTTCCGAACATTTTCATCGTTGACAAAAATATCTCAAGGATTTCATGACTTAACATTTTATTGATTTATCATATAGATATATGCAGATTATATATTTGGAAAAAATAATACTAAAAAGTCAGAGAAAAAATTAATTTCTGGTCTTGTGGAAAATCTGAAAAAGGCAGGGAATTTGAGTCTGCTGGACATCCTGCACATGTGCTTAGTGTGAAAAAGAGTGTATATTTGTTAGTATGAAATTTGAGAGGGATCAATTCTAAACATTTCTTTTTACAAAATTGTCGACTTATATGAAAGCAGATGAATACCTTTGTCACATGTGCTTATTGCCAAAAAGAGTGTATAAACAGTATAAAATTTGAGAGGGATGATCGCAAATCGAAGCGTTAAAACGTTTATTAACACCAACGTATACTTTGGAATATCGCGCGACAAGCGTGACTTCCTGTCTCCTCTCTGGCCGTGTCCGATCGATACGTTTTGTCGACTTTTTGAATCGCCGTAGCCGGCTATTTAGATGTGGCGTAGAGAGAACAGGCAAGAAATAGAATTGTCAAGCCAGGAGCGCTTTGTACGTCCGGTTGGAGTGAATGGACCGTGCGGTCGTTAAAATCGACAGAGTGCCGATATGCGAGTGCGGCTACGTCCAATCGATCCGTTTTACAGGACTGCTCCTGTGAGAAGGCGGCAAAAAGTGGTTACCTCGCTTCATGGTAGTCGTGTTATCCAGTGTAAACAAAAAGGGACGCGTGTTACATGCGCTACATGCGAGTACAGTCGAGCCGGCAACAACGCGGTGCTCGTTACGACCGACGCATAAGAGGATCGCCCTACGTTTCTTCCTGCCAAGGCTTTCCTTTTGCACGAGAATCCCAACTTCTTCGACTTGGTTTTCATCTTTTTCCACGCCTCTCGACTGCGTGTCGACAGCATTATCGAGATGCTATTATTACTCGTATTGGAGCAATAATCCTTTTCCCTACTTCAAAGAAATCTTTGCAAATTTTGTCGCAATATATTTTTTCAAATTGCTTTGAGATTATTTATACTTATAATAGAATTTGACATAGAAGTATATTAAAAATATATTCATTAAATTTTTCTAAATTATTAGTTAATATTATTAATGAATGTATAGCACACACTGAAAAAAATGTTAGCTACAATATGCTAAGTTTTAAGTATCCGTATATTATACAAATATTAATTATCATAGATGAAATTTAGACACGATAATTAAATTTCAGATGTAATATAAGGACACATTTAAAATTGAACTATGTTAGTTAATATTTTTGTCCATGTCTTCAGATCTTACGAGCAAGATAAAAAATCAACGTTCCAGTAGAAGACAAATTTTCGAGTTTCATTGAAAATGCTACGTATGAAAAATTGAATAAAATAAAATAAAGTAATGGCCCCATCGCCTAACATCTCTAAGTCTGATTATTACATCTCAACTCTCTCTCTTGCTTGCATCTTAGCAGTAAGATATTAGATGCTGACTGTAGCTGTAGAAGGGAAGAGTCTGAAACCCTTTAGCGAGCAGAGTGGGAGAGTGGGCCGAGCCAATGATGGGATTGCTTATGGGGGACCTCACCGGGTACCTGTTGGTCAGGTGTATCCCACTCTTGCCACAGATCTCTTCTCTCAGTCTTTCTTTCGTGTCAACGTTTCCCCATTCTTCCTTCTCTCTTGCGCAGCCTCTCATTTCGTTTCATTAAATCTTAGCTATACGAACGCGTCGTAACTTCGTAAAGATTTTTCTCCAAGATCGTTATTGATCTTTCAACACTCTGCCGTCCGGATCAAATATTTTAATACCGAATAAAATTTAATGAGCACGTGTGGTGCTTTCGAAACAGTCTTAATCATTCGTTAAAATATATACGCCATCTTTAAAGCATCTTATTGCCTTCTTTTTGTCAAAATTATTATTATTCGTATAATGTCGCATATAATTTTAGTTTCTACCGTAATTATTATCGGAGTAGAACGAAACGAAAATCTACGAAATAGAGAAGCAAATATCACTGTCTTACACGCGGACAAGATGATTCAGGATTTCGGCAAAGTCGTAAACGAGGTAAAAATACCGGAATGCCATGGTTCCTATAGATCACGCGTGCCTTCGGCTGGACTTAACGACAGAAGGCGAGGACCGTAAGAAGTGGCGGGAAACGTAACACGAGCGGCCAGAGAGGAGGCTGCGATTCGTGACTTCCCAGAAAGCCGATGGAACCGCTCGCACAGGCCCGAGCCCCCCGTGGTTCTAGCTCATTAACCGGCACCCACCCTTCATCCCCCTCGTACCTCATCATCCTCTTCTGCACGTCGTTGGCGTGACGGCTGGGCTCACGAACATCGTGCGTGTGTGCCC